AATCACAAAATTGCAATTTTTGAAATTTGAGCGCGTGGCGCAGCAATAGGAGGTCTTTAGACCGAGCCAACCATAGTGAATGCCATAATTAATTTCTACTTTCTACCATCAAAATTGGAATAATTTTGACCATCAAAAACACCAAACCAATTTGGGCTGCATGTATATTTGGTATACTGTTTACAACTTTAACTAATTTGTTTTTATTATTTATTATTTTCATTTTTTAATTAAATATACAATCTTCTGTTCATCTTTTATTCATTAAAGAATCAGAAGAGTCAAGTGAGAACATTTTTATAATGATTATTTACATTTGTGAAATATAATTAATGCTTTTTTCCTTCTTTTATTGGGACTTCTGAAAAAAAATTTGATGCTGAGCAGGTAATGCATAACAATTGTGTAAAATTATTTACCTCTTGATCCTTGATAAACTACTATTACTGTTGATACTAAAGCTAACCTTCTGTATAATCTATTTCAAGAACTGATTGGCCCAGAATGCAGTGCAACATTTTCAAGATACACTGGAAATTTCAATTTTCCATGCTCTAATGGTAAAGTAGATTGGTCTAAACTTCAGCAAAAGATTTGGAGTGAATTGGATAAAGTTATGGAAGACACACCAAGTGAAACCATCTCGATCATTCCAACTGGGGATGATGCAGATGTTGTTGATCAAGATACCTTGAACATGATTCTTAAAAAACTCTGGAAATTGACACCTCCTATTTCAAATATCATAAAATTTTCATTAAAGGTCAAAACATGTAAGTTTAGATAAACAGTGTATTTGTTATTAGCAACATTGCTCACCATCCAATAATTTGTTTTACAGCACAAGAGAAGTTTTCTGGTTATAAAAGTTTCAGTGCAGTTGCAAGCTGTTTCAACCTTGACTATGAGATTATCAAAGATATTCCCCAAATGGAAGTTAATCCAAAAGGTACTGTGAGATTGTAAACCGTGGACCAATCAAATTGCCCGTTAATGTTGACCAATTAGAACGAACTTACTACAGAAGTCATGTGATGCTCTAAATATTACAGTCAGGGATATTTCCATAGATGGAAATACTAAATACCGTAATGATCGACTGTATGAAAAATTCTAGAAGAAATTCTGATTGGCTAAATTCAACCAGGGATAATACCCTGTAATGATCGACGTTATGA